TTCATATGTTGGTCTTCATTATTTAGCCTAAAGTCCAACTTCTTGCTTAGACGAACAAACACCAAACATGTCTAAACTTTGATTCAAAAAATTGATCTCTTGCACATATGAAATAAAATCTCTCCTAAATATATCATGATTTCTTCTCCACACCTCTCTAGTCAGATTTTTTCTAATTAATTTTTCCTACTCTTTTAATTTTTTTTTTTTCGATACTCTAATGAAATTTCGAAATCCATATCTGCTATAAAATATTTTTAAAATAATAAGTGGTCTACATGTATACTTTCCATAATTTCCATTTTTTTTTATATATTCGAGTTTACATTTCTTTTCAATAATGAATCATATACATTTTTTCTTAAAATTAATATTGCTTCAGTGGTTTAATATTTCACAAGCACAAGAAAAGGTCAATTTTTTTTTCTAAGAATTATATAAATTTATATTTTTTATTAACATTTAATATAATTGTTTATACTTTAAAAAATCTAACCTATTAACTAACGTTACTGTGGGGCGGGTGGCAACATCTTTGGATTGGTGGGAACCTAAATGGTTGTAGGCAATGGTCATAGTTGAATTTTAAAAGCATTCAAAAGACTGAAAAAATTACCCAAAAATAAAATTTATACTTAAAAGTTATTTTGAGTGTTTTTTCAATCAACTTTATTTATTTCTAAAAATAAGAAACATTAAATTACTCACAAAACAATAATGTTTAAAAAATAAAAAAGGAAAAACAATCTAAACTTTAGGGTCTACATTATACTTGTGTTGTTTTTAAAATTATAAACATTAATTATTTGAAAAAAATTTAACTAATACATGTTAGTTGGAAGTCGGATTTATGTACGCAACATTTAAATTATCTTCTCTTCTCAACATTTAAATTATCAAATTTATTTTAATTATTTGAAAAATATTTAACTAATACATGTTAGTTGGAAGTCGGATTTATGTACGCAACATTTAAATTATCTTCTCTTCTCAACATTTAAATTATCAAATTTATTTTAATTATTTGAAAAATATTTAACTAATACATGTTAGTTTTAGTTAAAATAAAATTTTTATATATGTATACTAATTTTTCATTATATTCTTAATAATTTGATCATCAAATCTAGAAATATGCTTTATTTAGGATAGCTTTCTAAAATAAAAATTTTTAATTCATAAATATTTTATACTGAAAATTTATTTTAAATATTAAAAAACTAATCCCAATTTTCACTTTCTACTACTAAATATTATATACATAGATATAAGTATATAACATTAAAAGATAAACTTTCTTAAGTTATAAATCTAGCTCAATTTGGATAAATTCCGATAATTGTTTTTCATTTTCTATCCAAAAAACACTTCGGAATTTTGTTTTTGAAGATACCAAAGTACAACTAATTTAATAGAGTTGAATATTTTGATCGTATAGATGCAGCTTTAAAACTTTAGGAAAATTAATATCTTTCAACAAAATGGTTAAATTTTATTGAAAATTTTTGGAATACTATACTGGAACATAAACTTTTTTGCTAAGGAATAATATTTATTGTTTTTTTCCTCTCCAAAAATAATAAAGCAAAACATTTATTTAGAATATCCTTAGCAGTCAAGCTTAGTTTCTTTTTTTAAACTAACATTTTATTTCTGCATATAAAGTAATTATTTAACGGATAAGTACACTGTATAAAATTAATTATTCTTCAAATAATTTATCATATACTTTTAAATTAATATTATTAATAGACTGTGGCAAGGCTATCACATGGATTTGCAATATGATAAATAAGCTCTCCGGTCAAGCATAAAATTATAAATAAATTCAAATAAAATCATGACGAAAAAATAAAAATATTGTTTCCAATATAAACTCCACACTAAAACATTAACACCTTCTACTAATAAGACTAAATATCCTAAGAAATAAATAACAAACAAATTATAAAATTAAGCAAACAAGAGTTCTTCATTGCAAATACATCAAGAAAAATTAATCATACATTTCACTTCTTGGCAGCTCACAAATAAATGCATTAAAAACTAAAAACAAAAAATATTCAACAAAAAAAATAAAAACCAAACTAAAAAAAAAATTAATTACCTCTCTTTCTCTCTGAAGCTAAGGAAGTGGGCAGTGCGACCTTAGAGCTGATGCAATTTTGCTCTTCACCACAGCCCCGTTTTTATAGGCACTCCGCATACCAGCCAACGCCTACCGCTTAACTCCCAACGCCTTCTCATCAAAGCCCTATCATTACCTCGCTGCACTGAATGCCACCCATCCAGCGCAAATTGGCCGCAATTTGCGGATCTGGTCGTCGATAACGCCAAAAGAGATAATGATCCACAGCTGGAACACGTCAGCAAGCAGGAAATGCGCTGAACATTTCAGCGCATTCTTCAGAATGCGCTGAACATTTAAGCGCATTCGCTCTATTTCTCCGCGTATTCTTTAAATGCGCGTTTAATTTAAGCGCATTCTACAATGCGCCGTACTTTAAAGTGTAGTTGCTACTATTTAAAATTTTTCCCAATTATGCTTCTTCCCCTAATAACGCCACGGACCGTGCTTCTTCCTAAAATTTTGCCTAAAAAGTATTAGATAATAACACATTATTCTATCTATATATATCTGGTGAGCTATATAGTTTTTTTTTTTTTAAGGAGTCAATACTCTCCATTATTTGATTATTTGATTTAAAAAAACTTATCAAAAGTAATCAAAATGGATGCAATATGATACCGAAAAGTAATAGACATGAAGGAAATAAAATGCCAACAAATCATGCAATGCGTTCATTTTTGCCATTTGAAATCATAAATTTATTGCAGAGTAGGGGAAGTGACATACTGCCTGGTAACCCTAAAGAGATCACTACCCTCAAATGGGTTACTCCACTCCTGGGAATTAGATGGTACTGAGGGATCAGCCAAAAGACCACCACCTTCCTGTAATCCTGGAAGATAGACCCCACCACCAACATTCACTTGAGGCCTTTCTGTAGCATTTCCTCCCATAAGCATTGTCGACCATGAGTCGGACTGCAATGATGGTCTTAGTGAGCTCAAATCTAGGCTCCAATCAATAGATGAGTAATCCCGGTGAGCGGCTAAGCCACTAGCGTTCCAATCATTCTGCGACGACGAAGCCGAGGACCCAGACGAACCCAAGGAGGTGAAAAGTCCTAAAGACGAAGGACTCGCTAACGATGATGAGGTGGTTCTTGAAGCATTCCAGGCTTGGTTGCTCCAACCAGTTGCTGCAGGCAAGTCCGCCGGACCCGACCGCATTGGATGAAAGTTGTTTTGAGGGTAGAACTGATGCAGGGAAGAGCCCGTTGAGCCCATGCTGGCAAGGTTATGCCCAGGAGAACCACTTGGATACCATCCTGAAGCTGGTGGTGGTGAAACGCTCAAGTTCTGCTGCTTTGGGCGTCGCATAACAATGCCTTCCTGAAGGCCTGTCTGGACTTCATGGCCCATTGTTGCTACAAACTGAGATTCTGATTTCAATGGAGGTCCTGAAATCTGCACTGGTGAAGCCAAAGAAGGGTATGAAACAGATGGAGTACTGCCCATTGCCAACCATCTTTTATCAAATGCGGTGGGCGGAACTCTTGACCAATCAGTTGGCTTGAGCTGCATCTTTTTAAAAGCCTGCTGAAGGCTTCTATTTGCATATTCATCTGGCAAAGTACCAGGAAGCATTGTTTTGGAGTAGTTGAGATCCTTTTCATCCCTTCTTTGTTGTTGAATGGGAGCAGCTCTTATCGAGACTGGATTATTATGATTAGGACCTGAAATCTTACTATTCAGACCAGTGGAATCGACAAATTCATCTGACTTGGGCGTTGGAACAGCAGTGGCAGCTTGTTTTTGTGACCTCAAGCTGTCTTCAGCCCTCAACAAATCACCCTCACAAGCAACAACGGCCCTTTCAACATCCTGTTTTGTACATTTGAGCTTGACCTCCAGTTCTGCAACCCTGGAAAGCTCATCGGTAATATCAAGCTTTATGTGGCTTTTATCTTCCAAGTTAGCCAAAACGTGCTGTCTGTTGTCCTCTAGCCCTTCATGTAACAACCAAGAAACAGAGTCCTCCATTCGACCTTCATTTATTATGAGAGACATGAAAGCTCGATCAGAAGGGAATCCCATCACCACAAGCTGACGGGAAAGAGTTTCAAGTTTCCTAGATGTCAGGAACGCATTACATCTTTCATGCAATTCTTGAGCTCGCCTCTCCTTTTGGCGTTGGTGCTTCCTCTCATTCTTCTGGCGAATCTTGTCTCGTTTGTCATTATTGTCACATCCAGGAATAGCATCTATGCGAGGCGCGGTGCTGGTAGGCTTCTCCTTCTGGTCTTCTGACTCACCAGAACAACTATCATTGTTGGATAAAGAATCATATTCTGCCGTCGTACCTGGTGAATTCCCAGAATGATCTTCTGGGTCATCAATGGTTCTAAAACGGCTATTGCTCTGGGGCGGAAAGAGAGGTGGTGATATCTCAAGGGTGTGAAAAGTCCCCAAAACTGGATTATAAACGCTAGTAGAGGAGCCATTTCCGCCATATGCAGGCATGGGAGATGGTTTTATTGAAACCTTTGACTGTTCTTTGCCAGCCCTTGGAGTGGACTTGTCTTTTGATTTTGACTTGGATGCTGACGACATGTGAACTCTAATTACAATTATGGACCTGATCAATTGGCAGGAGATGACAGTTTCGGTTAATCAATCCTAAGTTTTGAAATTTAGTGAAAAAAGGAGCTTCAATAAAAAGAAAATTTAATTCACATGAAGATACTCCAAGTTTCTACTTGTTCCGGGCTTCCTGAGGTTGCTATGTCGAAGTTTGGAATTCAAGAAACTTCTCACAAACTAAGATTTCTGTGCATGCAGAACACTCATTTGAACTCAAGCTGCATAACCTTACAGCAAAACAAACAGAAACACAAGTTCTGCGCTTCCAAACTTCAATAGAAATAAAACGGCCATAGCTGCTTAACATATTGGGACAAACAAAGTGTCCATAAATGCTGTTAGAATTGGCGCAACATGGCATATAAATTGAAGCGAGTCCATCCAAGCTTGATTAACTAACTAAGTTCGAGCTCGAGCTTAATTCTATGAGTTCAAGTCGGTTCACGAGCTTGTTCAATTATTATGAAAAAAGTGAGAATGATTATGATTGAAATAATTATAATAATAAAATGAAAAAAGAATAAGAAATTAGAAGAAAAAGAATAAATAATCACTTAATATAAGAAATTGTTATATAATTTTTTAAATATTTTTAACAACTTTGTACATAAGCTATCGATTGCTAATATATTTTAAGTGTATTTTATATTAATATTTTTTAAATGAGTTGGCTAGCGAGCTAACGTGTTGAGTCAGGTCTGACTCAAGCTTGACTCATTAGCTCATCGAGCTAAGCTCACGAACGATTTATCGAGCCGAACTTGAACTGGCTCACGAGTCAGCTTGACTCACTTACACCCCTAGGCTCAATACAAATGAACATTTTTCTTCTAAAAAGGCATAGCGGATCTTGGATGGTCCTAATATAATTAAACAACAACAACATCAAGCCTTTATCCCACTACGTGGGGTCGGCTACATGAATCATTTTTCTCCATTGTGTCCTACTAAAAGTCAGTCATTATTGTTTGACAAGTTTTACACTGGCTGTCGATTACCTAACGCAACCCTCCACTTTTCTCATCCAGGACTTGGGACCTGGCAACGGCAACAAGAACATCAAGCCTTTATCCCACCGTGGAGCGGCTACATGAATATATTTTTTTTCCATTGCATCATATTAGGAGTCAAATTCTCATTTGAATCTAAAAAGAAAATGTCATTTCTAATATTATAACCAAGTCTTTTTAGTTCTACATCTATCTTTCTTAACATAGACCGGGTCTAATACATTTACTCTTCTAACCCGGTCATCAAAAGGCCGGTGTTTTATATGAACAAACCATGTAAGGCCTCTAATCTTATCAGCCACTGGAGCTATTCTAACCTTCTCATTAATATACTCGTTACACACTCTGTCTCTAAGTGTACAACCACTCATCCATCTGAGCATCATAATCTTTGTAACACCTAACTTAATTTTATGCTTCTCTTTTAGGAGATGTTAGTTTGACTAAAAAAAGGAATGCAATGTAAAATATATATATAGTGAAAAATGAATACCTTTTGGATGAGTGTAAAGTAAATGCATGTGAATGATTTTTTTTTTTTAGTTTGAAATAAATTAAATGTAATCTAAAGTCTAAAAAGATGATGGCGGCCGACGAGTGGTGGTGATGGCTGGCAGCCGATGGCGACGATGGTTGGGGGTTAGTGGTGATGGTGGTGACAGATGGAGGCCTGTAGTGGTGGCAGCCGGCGGCGATGGTTAGAGGTGATGGTTGCTAGCGGCGGCAGTGGTGGCGCCTGGTGGTGGGTGATGATGGCTGTGGGTGGAGGATGGCAACCTATGGGGTGATGACAACCAGCAACTGGTGAAGGCAGTGGAGGCCAACGGTGGGCAACGATGGAGGCCTATATAGTGGACGCCTTGTGAAGGAAGTGGCGGCCGACAACAAGTAGAGGCAACCACGATGGTGGTTGGTGGCAATCAAGCAAGTTTGCTTATGGTGTAAACTGTTCTCGCCCAAAAATGGGTGAGTTTGGTTTATCTCAAAAATGAACTAAAATCGTTTACACTACATTTACTTTACATTACTTTGCATTCCTTTTTCATTCAACCAAATATCAATATTTTCAAAACTCCTGCATTTGAAATAATTTGCACCCATTTTACTTCCAACTAAACAACCTCTTAATGGCCAACATTGTACACCATAAAGCATTGCAGATCTCACCATCACCTTATAGAATTTTCCCTTAAGTTTGAGGGATACTATACTATCACACAACAGACCGATAAATTCCTCCACTTCAACCATCTAACTTAAATTCTACTAATAATGTCCCTATCTATTTCACCATCATTTTCACCATCACTTTGAAGAATAGACCTGAGATATCTATACCATGTAATATTTTTAATAACTTGATCGCCCAAAGTCACAATCCCACCGCTAGATCTATTAATACTAAAATTACAATCCATATATTCAATTTTAGATCTACCCAAACAAAAACTTTTAGACACCAAAGTTGACCTCCATAATTCAAGTTTTCCTTCAACTCCCTCTTTGGCCTTATCAATAAGAAGAATATCATCAACAAATAGCATACACTAGGGTACATCTTCTAGCAAATATCTAGTAAGATATTTATGATTAAACCAAAAAGATATGGGCTTAAAGCTGTATCTTGATGTAGTCCAACTGAAATAAGAAAATACTAACTAAAAATACCTTGTGTTTGAACACAAGTAACAACTTCTCCATCCATATCCTTAATGACTTGAATATAAGCATTATTAACTCCTTGCTTTTCTAGAACTCTCCAGAGCACTTATCTTGAAAATTTATTACATGCTTTCTATAAATCAATAAATATCATATGTAGATCCTCCTTATTCTCTAAGCTTCTCCACCAAATCTCTCAATAAATGTATAGCTTCCATAGTATACCTACCCAACATGAATCCAAATTGATTTGAGAAACATTAGTATCAATATATGGATAAAAGTATCCGAAAGAAAAATGATGTTGATAGTAGACTTTGGAAAATGAAAATGTTAGCATAAGTATGGAAAAACTAGGGAGAAATTAAGAAATGATTAGAAGAATAATTAGAGCAGCATTAATGAAGATAAAATAATTGAAAATAAACTTAGATGAAGTGAACATATACAATGAAGATTAGAAAATAGACTCATACGGATGGCTAAATTTAATATTTAAGATGTTATGAATGAAACAAGGAAACCTAAAATAACATGGATAGAAGTCGTACAAAATGATTCAAAAAGAATAAATTTAAAAAGCCTCATGTAAAATTAAGTAAGAATAAATGGAAAATTAGCACTTATAGAGCCAAACCAAATAATTTAGGATGACATAAAACATGATACAACTCTATGCTCAATTGAAAATTCATTAAATTTTCAACCATCACCAAACAAACATCTGCATAAAATACTCCTAATCATAAACATTTCATTGACCTCTACAATGTAAGATCCACTCTATTTTAGATCCCTAAAGGAGATAAGAAACAAAAATCAAACAGGGTAGCATTACCTTTACCCTTCATATAGTGCCGTGATGTAACAATATGTTTTACAAGAAATCTTCTTGGTCTCGACTTGGGAGGGCAAGATAAATTTGTCCTAGGCATGCACGACCCCATTACCTCGAGCAACTAAAGCTCACCAATTACACCCCATTAATGGGGCAACAACCTCATTACATAATGTAAATTAAACTATCAAATTGCTAAATTTTAAACTATTATAAATGGGGTGTAATTGTAAACCTCTTTATATATTTCTCAATTTTCAGAGTTTTTACATCTAAATCGATTATTATAACAAAGCTTCTTATGTTTTATCTTTTCTTGCATATTTTGATTTCACCACCAACTATTTTTATTATTAGGAGCTTTTCTGTTTGAAACTCCAAGCACATCATTTGCAACATTCTTATTACTAGTCACTTTATCCCATATAACATTCGCTTCCCCATGCACAGACAAAATCTTAAGATCTCGAATCTTAATCTCAAAAATATTTTTGCTAGTATTTTTTAAAAGCCCCCATCTAATCTTAGAATAATATTTTACTAAATTTTTCATACTCTGCCCCTTCATCTTAAATCTGAAACTAATAAGCGATGTGATAGGAAATCTTAAGATCTCGAATCTTAATCTCAAAAATATTTTTGATAGTATTTTTTAAAAGCCCCCATCTAATCTTAGAACAATATTTTACTAAATTTTTCATGCTCTGCCCCTTCATCTTAAATCTGAAACTAATAAGCGATGTTATGTACATAAACTTTCACTCGTAATAACTTTACAATCTTTATAATCTAAATAATCTATTTTTCTTATAAAAAGATAATCAATCTAAGTTTTACTATATCTATCCTTATAAGTGATGGGATACTCATCTCTTTTATTAAATAAGGTATTAGTAATTACAAAATCATAAGCTATAAAAAAAATATAATATAATCTTACCACATTCATTAGTCACTCCAAACTCATAGCTACCATGAATACTTTTAAAATCCTCTATCTCTGTACCAATATGTTCATTTAAATCTCCTCAAATAAATAATCTTTCTTCAAGAGGAATATTTTGAATTACTTCTTCTAAGTCATTCCAAAATTTTAATTTTAAACAAATATCAAAACCTACTTGAGGAGCATATGCACTTATAATATTAATAATCTCAGCAATAACAATAATCTTCAAAGCAATAATTATATCTCCAATTCTATCCATTTTTATAACATTATCTTTCAAACTCTTATCCATAATCACACATACACCATTTCTAGTACGACTTCTACCATAATACCAAAGTTTAAATCCTAAATTATGAATATCCTTAGCCTTCATTCCAACCCATTTAGTTTAGTTTCATGAATGCATAAAATATTTATCTTCCTATGAATCATAATATCAATTAATTTCATTAATTTGCCTGTAAGAGAACCTATATTCCAAGATCCAATCTAAATTTTAGTTTCATGGACTAGCTTCTATTCCCACATCCACCCATGATGTAGGAACCCTTGCTTATTTAACACTGCACCTAGGCGCCAATACAGCAGCCCTTGCACACTTCTTGTTGTATTCAGGTCATACAGCGCATTGCTTCTAGAGAACGTCTTAGCATTTACACAATGTATTAAAGATATCATGTCATGATTATTCGACAAGTTTTACGCTGACTGTCAACTACCTAAGACAACCCTATCAACTCAATCTCTCCTCAACAAGCACTAGCCCACCTCGCCTTAATCTTCCTTGCACCCCATCTATCTTTGATCTCTGCTAGTTTAACAAGAGACTCCTTCAATGCTCTTCATCTATCTTAATGACTTGTCACTCATTATCATCAAAGCAATATGCCAAATTATAACTTATTTAATTTAATTTTAGCATCTCATTTTCTCAAAATTTTATATTCTTATTGGGTTTAGACTATGGACTAAGAATATAAATAATATAGTTGTTGGAGTTCAGATTTTAAATTTATTTCAATTTTTCCTTGTATTAAAAATTTTAATCATATTTTCTATTTACTAAACACTAAAAGATATTAAATATATGAGGCTTTTACACACATACCACAAAAATTTTATCCATCTACATATCTAAACCTAAACTTTACATTTACTTACGTAACACCCTAGTGTTTATATAACATCAAAGCATATGCATAAAAAGGGCAATTTAACTTTAGAAAAGTTAATATTAGTATTTTTTATGTGATCTAGAATTTATGGTGTTATATAAATAAATCTAAAAAATCAAGTGTAAGATAAGTAAATACATAAGAGCATTGTGGTATGTAAATAAATCCCCCTAAAATTTATTGGACTAACGCCCCATTCTCAAAAGAGGTAAAATACCTCACCTTACTCCTATCTCTTAAAGCATTGAAGCAAAAAGAATCATAATATAATATGGTGCAACAACAATTATGATGCACTTGTGTAAGAGATCAATCCAAAGAATTATTTTAATCCACTATAAGTTATAGTGCATGAAAGAACCCAACTAACTAGCCAATGCTTGTATGAAAAGGCATGAAACAATAGTGGATGGATGACCAACAAATACTATACCATTCTTTAAAAACAAAGCTACACTTAGTCTAAAATAGAAAATTAGAGATAATCTACATTATATCAAACTGCAACATTTAAACTCTATCAAACCATTCAAATAATGTAGTGCATCAAGAATTTTCATCACGATAATCCTCACTTCCCTCCTCTCCTCACAGTCACAACAGAAGAAAAGCTTAATGTGGGAGCTTTGCAATGCACGGCAAAGAATTGCATTGAAGAGTTCATAGAATACCACATCAGGAATTGTGTCGAGTTTTTGAATAACCAATGGAAGCGATAAAATTCTACTTCATGTTCACACTTCTATGCTACAATGTCCACAGCATTCATGAAGTAGCGTTTTCCCTTCCACCAATGTCCACAGCACTAAGCCGCTTGTGCATGTCCACATATAGCAATGTATGTAAATGTACAAACAAGTAGAAACCGAGCACTTGCAAGGTTATGCTAAACAGACATCTTCAAAAAAAAAAGGCTTACGTATGCTATTTCTGTAAAGAAGACAAAGCTGATTGTAAATACTCAAAATAGAACACAAAAACTTGGCATTGGGTGCCATGGCATACCATAGCTATGCACATGTTCATGGCCAAGAAACACAATAACTAGTCACATAGCCTAATAACAAGCCCAGAACTTCTGAAAATTAAATGCGCAAATGACAACCAGAAAATGCTAGAATAATTAATCCTATAGATGACACAATAACATAAACAAATTGCTTTATTCTATAAGAAGGTCATATGCATCGAGCTTTTATGTATGATTTTGAAAAGCATCAACTCAAATATTAGCGAATGTATTGCAAAAACAACAAATGAAGGCAATAATGATCTGAATTGCATGAGGACTTCAAGATGACTTAAACAAGCTAAAATTTATGCAAATATATCCCATGAATCATCAAAGCCAACTCACTCATTGAGTTTCAACCAGTAAACCTATTTAGTCATTCTGTTGGGATTTTTATCATGAAGTAGGCCATAGCTTCACAGAAATTAACAAAGTATTATGAGCACTGTGAAGCTGAGGAGGTGCATGCAAAGTAGATTACCTTCTTAGTACATTTTCCATACAAAAAATAGTAATGTTTCAAAATTTTAAAAGTAAAGCAACTCAATACCAAACAAACCATTGCTAAGAAGAAAAGGTAAGATCCATAAACAAAAAATAAAATAAAATAAAAAGATAGTTGAGATGGTTTATTGTAAATGACCCACAAAAAGTTCAAACACAACAAAGGAATGCAAAAGACCTCTTCCAATATCTAAAGTTCAAGAATATCATACAAAAACCCAACTCTGCATTCATAACCAGTGGAGTTTGACAAAACAATAACACTACAACAACCTAATAAGCCTTTCATATTAGCTTTCACAAAAGTTCAATATACTAAGATCAATACCCTCAACAATATCATCCATTATAGTTCTACCATGGTTTTTGGTTTAGTTAGTGAGAGCATCAACCTCAAAAAAGGATGATATGAGAATACATATATGGATTGCCACAAATGTTGCACAACTTTCATGCTGGCACATTCAAATTCTTAATAGAAAGATGATGTGGGACCAAATATTATAAACATACGTAACCTACCAATCCATATATGTGTGAAAGGGAAAACATCTCTAGTGGCAGAATCATTTTTCCAAAAGATGCTATAAAGACACAAGTATCAACGAACATTTTTCCATAAGCAAAATAGCGAGCAAGGAAATAATCCTAGACTTAAATCATTTTTCTAATACACAAAAACACACTAAAGTTATTACAAATAACACCTACTTGGGAAATAATTAACCCAAAATCTAAGATCCCACAAAGAATGATTAAACAATGAAAATGCCAAGTAAATCAAATAGTTACTACATGTATTTATTGCAATACTCATAAAATCTTCATATAATGAAAAATATATTAAAACTTGAAAATGCACACAAACATTAACTTGCTTAGTAAAATCAGAAGTATATTTAACTTTGAAAGGAGAGAGGTCCCCCACCAAAGTGCAAAAATCATAATCACAAACACTCCTGCTTTACTAAAATAGATAAAGAAGGTTGCAGGCTTTTTTCAATATCTACAACGCAAGCTTTAAAGATTATTGATGCCATAAAGCAACAAACAATGATGAATTTCTTTTTCTTTTGGGAGTGAATATAATCAAATATGTATTTCACCATTAATTACCTCAATATATCTTCCAGATTCTTAATTTCTCACAAATAGAATGCATTATAGGACAAAACATCATCAACATCAACAGCAATCATACAATAGTTTTATAAAAGCCACTCTCATCGGTTTTACAAATCCATCTAATATTTCATTCCTAATAATAATGTAGTAAACCAAACAAGACCAAAAGAATCGTATTGATGTAATTTAATATCAGAAATGGATTAATTTAAAATTCACGATAGCCGGAAATTTATTTATTTTTCACCATCTAAAGAAACAAAAGAATAATTTGACTGGAACGCTAAACCCAACAGATCGCTAAAAGAATCAAACTCCCTAGTAAATATACCCATTTATTCAGCTGTGATTTTAGAACATGTTTACATCTACGAGGGAATCCAACCCCTGATGACAACATACAAGGATTTCTCAGACACAATAACTAACCTTCAGGATAGCCGTGGGAGCCTAAACAAAGCAAAATATAACACAACTGGAAAATTTTGAAAATCTATAAATATAAATAAGAGGAAAGCCCCAATCCTCCCAAACAAAAGATCCAATAAGGACAGCATACAAACAACGCATCCTCATTTAAATAGATCCAACAAAAAAACAAAAAACTCGAAGGGAAGTGAATCCAGAGAAGATAATCTCGCCAAATCAATCACAGAAAATAGCAAGAATAAGCAAGGGGTCAGAGAAAATAGCCTTAGGGGGTGTTTGGTATCGGATTTACCTGCAATTTAAGTAGGATTTACCGTAAATCCAGCCAAACGCAAATCCGAGCAGTTCTACGCATTTACGGCATAAATCCCGGTAAATCCAGGTAAATCCTAATCCAAACCTTTCCCGGATTTAACGAAATTACGGTATTTGGCCGGAGAAGAGCGCGAAAGGGAGAAAGTTACCTACAAAGCCAGCGAGCTCCCGTTGTTGTGTCCGATCAAAAATGTCCTAACTTCCGATCCGACAGGAAGGGAAAGTCGTCGAAGTAGCGAAGTCGAACAGCCACGAAGGAGCCGAATAAGCGACGCGTGCAATCTATACACCTCCTGCGAAGCAACGGATGCCGAACAGCAACGACGAAAGGAGCAGCTGAAATGCAAACCCTACGAGCCTCTTAAGTTATCACTACTAACTTAATTAATATAATCTAAAATAATGATAATTTAGTAAATTAATAATATAATTAGTACATAAAATAATTGTCTAATTTAACATAATTAAATAAATAATTAAAAATAATTTAGTTAGTTTAATTAATATAACTTAAAATATATATCACTAAATATATAATTAATAGTGTAAATAATAGTTAATGAATAATTTGAACTTAATAATTTTGATAATCATACAATTTAAATATCTAACTGCTATAAATCTTAAAATATATTGCCAAATATCTTCTCAGGATTTAACATTTATCATATTAAACACTTTTTAGGATTTATCAGCCTCAAAATTTACTAAATCCGGATTTCTAAGATTTATTAAATCGCACTAAAGTTAAATCGAATCCAATACCAAACACTCCCTTAGAATAGATCACCTTCTTTATTGTTGCATACTGGAGTATTCGTGATGGTAGAGAAATATAAAGTTTAACGTCTTAGCTTTGTATGAAGATCCAACACTTAATTAGATAAAGAGAGATGGTGCAGCATTTATAGGAGACACCAATATTTTTACATGAAAAACACTAAAAAAGGAAAAAATTACAGGGTCTAGCCCTGTTTGAATGAATCCACTATTATTTGCAGTTGATAACAAATGGGGCACTACATTGGAAGGAAGGTCATGACATTTATGTAACAAATGTACGTCATATAGAGTGTGTTAAATTGTGAAAATAGGAAGAACCAATGCTGACTTGTTCACTTGGTCAGAAGGGCCATAGTCGATGGGAGACGGAGGTCGGAAGGACTATAGTGGGGTGGATGATGTAAGTCGGAAGAACCGTAGTCGGCGGACAACGAAGGTGTGACATCCCAGGCATCCATAGTGAAAGGATTCGTCGACAGTCTTGATCAACCATCACTTCCTGCTCCCTTGCTCTGACCTGAAATTGTTAACAATATATAATGAGCTTCAAAAAGCCCAGCATGTCACCAAAGCCTACAACTGAAATTAAAGCACGGCACTGAAACAATATGCATGTCAATCAGTCAAATCCATACCAGTCACTTGCACATGATCAGTGAGTCAATGCAGATACGGAAATCAGTACATAAACAGAAATCAATGCATAGACAATATAATCCAAAATCATCAATAAGAGAATCAGTGAAAAGTAGAAAATCCGTAATGTTCAATAAATCAGTACGTGCATCAATCTCTACAGTAGTCGTCTTATCTATCACATCAGTCTAATCAATGGAGCAGAATCGTATCAAAGCATACACTTATAAATTCCAATTATTCAATATTACTTGCTCAATAAATCATATGTCATCCAGTTAGGGGTGTAAATGAGTCGAGTCGAGTCGAGTTTTGGCCCTTATCGAGCTCGGCTCGTTAGATAGATAGCGAGCTCGAGCTCGAGCTCGAGTCGAGCTCGACAGTCGAGCTCGAACTCGAGCTCGTGTCACTGTTATCGAGCTCGAGCTGGCTCGCGAGCCGGCTCGGCTCACTTACACCCCTACATCCAGTAATCGATATCACGTGTTCAGTGAATCACATGTCACTTTCTCAGTATATAACGTGCATAAATGTCAGCACAATGAATCAGTAGTAGTCGCGTATGTATCAATATCAGTAACAATCTAATGACGACATGAACGATTATGCTATAACAGTGAAATTATGTAGTAACAATAAATCCGTACAGTAACGATAAATCCTCAGTAAACGAATCACAGTACAATAATCAGTACTAGTAAATCCGTCAAATCAAATACGATTAACATCACTCAATCATATCAATAGAATCAATCAGATTAATAAAGAAATCAATTCCGGTTAATAATCTCAATCGATATGAAATCACATAAAACGATCAATTCAATACATCGTAAGGACAGTTAAAATCAAATCGATAAATTAATAATAACCATTAAAATCAATCAATACAGTAAAATCATATTCTATATCACGTGATCAGTGTATCACATGTATCACATGTATCGATCAGTATTCGATGTATCACATGCTATAAGATCGGTACAATGAATCAATGTATCAGTGGATCAGTAGTATCGGTATCGGTATCTGTAGTATCAATGAATCAATGCAATATCAATATTCATTATCGGTATTTGTGTTCAGTGACATGTACAGTATGAAATATCAATGAAATCGTGCAATGACAGAAAACTCATAAATCCGTATAGTAAAGCCATTCACTATCAATAAATCAATTCAATATCAGTAAATCCATTCAAAATCCATAAATCAATTTCATAACAATAAATCAGTCAATATCGATAAATCAGTGAATCTATAATGAGATCATAAGAATAATATTTTACACATGCATTCCAGTACAGTAGTCTTACTCGACAAGTACAATCACTGGCTATTAAGGCATTTTTCAAGGTTAGTATGTTAGTAATCTGTTGGCTATAATAGAGTCGTCACCCTTGCCCGTCGGCATAAGCTCCTTATGACTCCCAATTGTTGTATAACGTGATCAATAGAGGATAACACCAAACCCTTTTTATAGGAAAGCCCGTCGGCCCACCATCCTGATAGGTCAATCTTCAACCAACGATTCAACCAGCCTTTACTCAACAAGTAAAAGACATGGCTATTACGGCGTCTTTCAATCTTGAAATATCGATGTATCGTTGTATCCGTTGGCTCAATAAGAGTCGTCACTCTTGCCCGTCGGCAGAATAATCTCATTATGACTCTCTTCTGTAATCACGTGATCAGTAGAGGATAACACCAAACCCATTTTAAAGGAAAGCTCGTCGGTCCACCATCCTGTCAGGTCTATCAGTCTCCAACCAACGGTTCAACCAGTCTTTACTTGTCTTTCAGTAACAATAACATTAATTCAATCATATATGCACATTCATATATATCTCATTAATACATAACAATCAACAAACATAATTTAACTCAATTGAAGAAAATCCTTAAAATATCGTACAGTCGACAGAAATCCCAAACAGAGACAAAATACACAGTTTCAGAAAATTACCAAATTACCAGAAATCGTATAAAAGAACGTTTCAAAACTTTATTTGTACTAAAGCAAAAATTTCCAACAATCAGATAATTTTCTATTCGATAAAAATCCCACATAAATCAAAATACCCAGTAAAAACTTTCCATAAAATACTCAAATCGTGCAAAATCATCAATTCTATAACATACCAAAAGTTACGCGTTAAAAGTTTCGTCAATACAAAGATATGCAAGAATTTCGGTAACGGAAACACAAAACTGAACAAAAAAATACCAAAACACAAAATCTTCGAAATCAGAAATAGGATTTGGATTCCTTACTTTGAGACAAACAAATATTCTAACAGCGGCGACGGACGAAAAGCGCTTTGCGGCCTCCGAAATCAAGCCTCTTCTTTCTCTTTCCTTCTCTTTCTCTCTCTTGCCTTTTTTTCTCTCTTCAAAATATCTCAAATCCTTAATTTATCAAGCAGGATCGTCCAGGATGATGCCCAAATCGTCCCGGGAAGAACTCCTCTAGACACGGATCGTACAGACGAAAATTAATTCCAATTTATTTCGTCCCTGGACGAAACTCTCGGGTTCAGTTCGTCCCGACGGTTCATCCCGATGCACCCAGGTTCATCCAGACGAACCTGCATTTTTACTCAGTTCGTCCAAACAGTTCGTCCGTACTAACTATACATATTTTCACAATTTTATTCAGTTCGTCTCGTACTAAGGCCAGTTCGTCCGGACTAATAGCACTCACAAAAATAAACTTTTGAGGGGTTTTATAGAATGACATAAAGACCATTGTCTGGTGACGAAGGTTGGATGGATTGTGTCGGCCAGAAGTCAAGCGTCGGATAGAAGTCCAACAAATTTCTGATGACGGGCAAAAGTCCGGCGTCGGGTAGAAGTCTGATGGAAGTCCGGTGACGAGCGAAAGTTCGGCGTCGGGCATGAATCTAGTGATGGGCGGAAGTCCAACATAGGGTATGAATCCGGTGACGGGCAGAAGTCTGGCGTCGAGTAGGAATTCGGTGATGGGCGGAAGTCTATCATTGGGTAGGAATATGGTGGCGGGAGGAAATCCAGCTAGCATTGGGTAAGAATTTGACGATTGGCAAAAGTCCCGTGAGTGACGAGTAGAAGTATGTCGATGGACAAAAGTATGGCATCAGATAGAAGTCTGGCGTCAGGTAGAAATCCAACGACGTTCGGCTTACGGGCATAACTCCGGCGTTAATTAGCTGCTGGGTGAAGTTCGATGGCGGTCGAGGAGGATTCTCTTCATTTTGTTTTTTCTTCTTTGCTTAATTCTGTCATCAGTTGGCGATCGGGCAAAACTCTGGTGTTGGTCGGCTACCTGGTGAAAGTCCAGCGGTGGTCGAGAAGGAGTCACTTTTCTTCTCTTCTTGTTTGGGCCTCCTTCTTCCCCCTTTGGGTCCCTTTCTATGAGAAATGAGTGATCTATTTATAACTTTCTGATAGTGGCATGACTAGTAAAATAGGAGAAAGATTATAGGTAAATTGTGAGTGGTTTGAATGGATGGCCGATGTTGAATCATTTGATTATAGATCGTTTATTTGATATTTGAATATATTAATGATATCATAATTTGATGATCTTGGGCTCGTTGATTTGTCTCATTGAGTCGCTCGATTCGACTATAAGCATATCACAATTGGAAAATGTTCGGTAATCCAAATTATGGTTTGAACCTTCTAAATGTGCTTCAGAACTTCGATTTGGACTCCTTTGGGCTCGTATTGAGTCGAATTTGGTGTCGTTGGGTTCATATTTCCGAGACGTTCAGTTCGACTATAAGT